GGGGGGCTGTCACCAGGGGGCAGAGGGCGTGTCCTTCCTGAATGCTGAGGGGCCATGTGTGTATCTTTCCTGGATGCTGTCACTAAGGTGGCCATGTCCCTCCTGGGCGCTGTCTCTCTGGAGGCTGTGTGGGAGGGCGCAGACACACCGTAGGTTCAGGTGCTCGCTAGCTCGGGCCTAATCCGGAGGCTGGGGTTGTCCTTGTGGTCAGTTTTCCACGGTGGATCCACATGCTTATCTGTACGTGGGCATCACTGGAGGGCAGGAGGTCCCCAGGCTGCTGGACAACAGGCCCTTTTGCTCACTGGACCCTTTACTTTAGGGCCACTTGGGACTAGGATGCAGGACCCTGGTGGTGCTGTGGAGTAAGCATTGGGCTGCTAGCCAAAGGTTAGCAGTTCAAACCCATCAGCCCCTGGGGCAGGGAGGATGAGATGTCCACTACCCAAAGATACATAGCCATGCCCACTACCCAAAGATACACAGCCTTGACAATCCACCACAGAGCTGCCACTAGTCTACTCTGTGTGCCCGTGGGTGGGCACTCCTCCCACCACGGGGCCCCTGGGCGCCCCAGCTGTCCTGCCTGCTGTTCCCACCCTGCAGGGGGTTGACAGAGACCCCCCTCGCCTCCTGATGTGCGTGAGACTCTGATGACGCTGACCCTGGCGACTGCTTGACTCTGAGGAGGCAGTGGAGGCCCCAGTGGGGTCAGCCAGCTGGAGTGTGCAGGGAGGGGGCTTCCTGGGAACAGAGTGTTGGAGGCCAGGGAGGGGCCGCCTGGATGGAGCAGTGGAGGCTGGGTCCCAGGAGCAGGCCTTGCGTGGGTCAAGGATGATAGGCCCTGCAGTGGACAGGGACAGGGGTCCTGCGTAGCTGGGTGTGTGTGTGTTGGGACAAGAGGGGACTTTGATGGACATGAGAGGACAGACGGTGGGGGTTAATGGTGGGGACAGTTTGACCAGACCCAGGAAAGTGGCTGTGTCCCAGGCTGGGGCACCCCCCCCTCTCCCGCCCCTGCTGCCGAGAGAGGGTGCAGTGTAGGTGGTCTGTAGGGGTCCTCAGATCCCCTGAAATTGCAGGCGTTGGTATGTGAGTATTTGAGGGGACAGTGCAGTGCCACCTCTTGTTTCAGACCCTCAGGGTCCCCCTTCCCAGGATTAAGCGCCTCTGCTAGGGTGGGGTGGGCAGGGCGTGGCAGAGCCATCTCCTGCGTCCCCCAAGGGCTGCGTCATCTCAGAGGCTTCTCCCCCGGTGACGTTTGCAGAGCTGCCTCCTGGGGACATCGGGGTTCTCCCTCTACCTGGGCAACGTGTTTCCGTCTGAGATGGACTATCTCCGCTGCGCGGCAGGCGCGGTAAGCCCCTCCCTCCAGGTTCCCTCAGAGTTTCAGTCTGGCCCCCCACCGTGCCCTTGTTCCCCCACCGGCTGTGAGCTCCCTGATAGCCCAGTCCTGAGGCTGGCGGGCCTCCGTGGTTTGGGGGCTCTACCATGCTCGCCCACTGCCCCTCCCTGACCCTTTGTGTTGTGTTTCTGAAGTCTGACCCAGTGCCAGGGCCTGGGGAGGACCCTGCCTGCTGCAGCTGGGGGCTCCTGTGCCCCCTCAGTCCCCGCTTGCAGAGCCCCCTCCCAGGGGCCTTGTGAGTGTGCTGCTGCTGGGACCCTCTGACCCGCCCACTCTCCAGGGGCTGGGGGCCGGGGGTCGGGAGGGGAGAGGCACAGCTGTCCTGGATCCTCTGAGGCTGGGACTCTGTCCCTGACATGCCCTGTCTGCCCCTCACCACCCCCAGTGCCTCCCTGCGGCCATCGTGAGCTTCACTGTCTCAAGGAGACACATAAACGCGGTGAGTCCCACTCTCTGTCTGCCTGTCTGTCCATCTGCCACCCCCCAGGGGCCCCAATGGGAAGGCATGCTGGCCTCTGCAGGGCAGCAGGATGTGTGTGCATGTGTGCACAAGGATACGCATGTGTGTAAGCACAACACATGTGCACAGATGCATGTATGTGCATGTGTCTACACGTTATTTCCATAGTCATGTGTGTTCATGTTGTGGGAACCATGGATTCATAGCATGTGGTTTGGGTATGGGCTTCATGAACACGTGGTTTGGGTATGTGTGAGTTTGTATACCTGTGTGTGCTCAGTGCGTACATGTTTGTGTGGGCGAGTGCTATGTGCACACACAGCACATGTGCACATGTGCATGGAGGCATGGCTCCATGTACATGTGGTTTGGGCATGTGTGTATCTGTGTACACGTGTGGGGTACGGCTTCATGCATGTGTTCTTTGCATATATGTGAGCATATGTACTTGTGTGGAAATGTGTGTGGGGTCCATGACTCCATGCACGGATGATGTGTGAGCATGTGTACCTGTGTGCACGTGCGTGGGGCATAGCTCCACAGACAGGTGGTTTGTGAATGTGTACATACCTGTATCTAGAGCTGTGGGGAGGACAGGGCTCCATAGTCAAAGAGGTTGGAGGGAGGGGCCCCGCAGGACTTGGCCCCAGACTGCAGGTTGCGGTGCCCACTCGCTGCCCGGTGGGGTGTCCGTCAGGGCTTTCGATTGGTGGGTCCCCCAGCAGGACACCCTCCTGGCTTGTCTTCCAGATCCCCAGCTTCCAGGTCTTGTTTGTGGCCACCTTTGCCATCACGACGACATGCTTGATTTGGTTTGGATGCAAGCTGGTCCTGAACCCGTCAGCAGTGAACGTGAGTTACGGCCAGACAGTGGCTCGCGTGCCCCCTTTACTGTGTGTGGTGACACTGCTGCCCACTGCTTCCCCAGCAGAACCCGTTGGTGGTTCAAACCCACCTACCTCCACAGGAAAAAGACGAGACTGCCCGCTCTGGTAGAGATCAGCAGCCCCGGAGACCCTATTCCCGCAGCTCTGCGTGGGAATGCACTTGACAGGAAGCTCACGGCCTGCATCAAGTCAGTTCTGACTCACAGTGCCCCTGCAGGTCAGAGCAGGAGGTAAATCTTGACGGGGCTAGATAGCCTCATCTTTCTCTCAGGGAGTAACTGGAGGCTTTGAAGCGCTGACCTTGCAGTTAGCAGCCAATGCACAACCCACCACACCGCCAGACTCCTTAATGGCAATGGGTATACCATGTGCTGCTAACCACAAGGTTGCCAGTTCAAAGCCACCAGCTCCTCTGCAGGAAAGAGATGAGGCTTGTATTCCCGTAAAGAGTTACCTGGCCTGTAAGGTGACCATGAGTCAGAATTGACTTACTGTCAGTGAGTTTGGTTTGGGTTTTACTGATTTCCATGTTCCTGGGATATAGGGACGGGCGGCCAAGGCCGATCCCTTCTGTTCCCCAGGGGTTTGCATGCCCACCCTGCACCTTGGCGAACCTCATGTGGCTCCAGGGGCCTGTGGTGTTGGGGTTGGGAAGCACCAGGGGTAGGTGTGTGGGGAGGGGCCGGCCACGTTCACCTCTCTTCTTGGTCTGACACCTTTTGAGAATTTTATGAGCCTTCAGAAGAAAGGAGCTATCTTTATTGAACTCTTTCATTGATTCCAGTAGAAGGGTTTATTGCTACAGACTATATTTTAAAGCTTTGTTTTATTTTTAATAACATGCCATTTTAACCATTTTAAGTGTACATTTTTTTTGTTTTGGAGAGGTATAATTACATTTACCTTGTTGTACAACCTTCACCACTTTCTCTTTCCAAGAGCTCGTCTGTTACCCTGAGCAGAAGCCCAGGGCCCTTGGTGCAATTCTGGTCCCCTTCCCTCCCGCTCCTCCCACCCCCTCCCCCACCCCACCCCCCAGTCTGCCTCGGCAGATTGGTCCTTTATAAATGCTTCATCTAAGTGGGTTCACAGAATATCTGCGCCTTTGGGTCTGGCTGCTTCTACCCAGCGTGACGTCCGCAAGTTTCATCCAGGTCTTAGCTTACTTCTCGTGATGCCTGAGCAATACTCCCTTGCGGGCATGTGCCACAGGGCCATTATCAGGTCACTGATCTTCTTTTTTTTTTTTTAAAGCAGAAGGGAAGCTATGTATTGGAGCCCGTACGGGAAACCCTAGAGGGGCCCAGCATCCCCTACTGTGTAGCCAGGCCCAGCAAAGGGTCACACCGTTCACTGTACCCCCATGTCCCAGAGGGACTCCCCTTGAGCCTAGCCCCACAGCCCAGGACTGGCTGGGGGTGGGATGTTCAGGTCAGCGATCTTTATTTGAAAGCGTTTTATTGTGGACTGGGGGAAGTTTGGCAGGGCAGGCCACCAGTTTTACATTGAATAACTCATACACCTGTGGACGCACCTCCCTGGTGGCCATCCCCTCAATGTGTCATTGCTTATCCGGCCTCTCCCCTGCGTCTCCTGTTTCCACTCCTCCTCCTACCCTAACCCCTCTGGACTGTGTCCTGTGGAAAATGCTGCCCCTTTGAGCTCAAATGGTTGATGGTTCTAAGGAGTGCCTCCCTAGTGTTCATTGACTGTGTGGGTCATAACCAACCCGGGATCACCCCGAGAGGACGGGAATTCCACAGCCCTTCATTGTGCCCATTCAGAGCCCGAACATGCACAAGAGGCTGTCGTCTGACTAGACAGGGAGACTGCCTGGTTTCAAGTCAGAAAGGTGAGTGTCAGGGCTGTATCCCGTCACCACACGTGTTCCATCCGCATGCTGAGCACATCATGAGAGAAGCTGGATTCTGCGAAGAAGTATGTGGCATCAGGGTTGATGGAAGGCTTATCAGCAACCTGCTCTACGTGGGTGACACAACCTTGCTTGCTGAAAGTGAGGAGCACTTGACGCACTCGCTGATGAAGATGAGAGGTCGCAGCCTTTGGTGTGGATTACGACTCAACCTGAGGAAGACCCACATCCTCACATCTGCACCACTAGGTACCATCAAGGCAAATGGAGAAAGGGTTGAAGTTGTGAAAGAGTTTGTCTTCCTTGGATCCACAGCGGTGCTCATGGAAGCAGCAGTCAAGAGATCAAAAGATGAGTTGCGTTAGGTTAATGTACTGCACAAGACCTCGTTAGAGTACTGCAGAGCACGGATGTTACCTTGAAGACTAAGGGCATTTTCAGTTGCCTCATATGCCCATGAAAGGTGAACAGTGGCTAAGGAAAACTGGGTTATGTGTTGGACTCAAAATGGCCAGCCGCTCTGTGGGAGAAAGACGGGGCTTTCTAGTCCCGCACAGCGTTCCAGTCTCAGAAACCCACAGGGACAGCCCTCCCCGACCCTGCAGGTGCTCTCTGAGTCAGAATGGGCTCGATGGCAGCGAGTTTGGGTTTTTTTGCTTAACAAGCCATTTCTGTGGCTTATTTCATGTGCCAATAAACCCTGGCCTTTTTCTGCCTTGGGGATAGTGCAGGTGGGCGGACGAGCCAGCCAGCACCACGCACGCTGATCAGAAATGGCAGGCCCCTCCTGGAGCAGTCTCTGTGACCCCGGCACCTGCCGTGGTGGGCCAGGGATCACTGCTGGTGACGTGGACCACCTGCATGTAATCTGTGGTTAGTATTTGTAAGAGAAAAACCGAATGTGAAAACCTTTCAGAGAACTGTTAGGTTGGGCAGGGGGCATACCCCCAGCCAGCCAGTGCTGCTGTGGAGCAGACCCCCTGGGGCTAGCCTCTGATACACTCTGTGTACCTGCCCTCTGCTGGCCTGGGAGTGGGCATTGATGGTCTCAGTTGCTACAGAGCAAGGACTCTACACTGGTGACTCAAACACAGAAGTCAGCCTGTTGGAAACCACTTTAGAATCTGTGCTACATCTGGAGGTAGCAGTGTGCAGTGATGAGGCACTGTGCGCGCTTGGGCAAACCCCGGAGAAACTCTTTTATGTGGGACCAGTGGCTCACAGGGGACCTGTGACTCTCCACAGACAGCCTAAGCAATGGGCTCCAAGTCCACGAAGAGCCCTTGAGCACGTGTTTGTTGGTTACTGCTCCCCGGGCTCCAGCTCCGGCGACTTCCTGTAGAACAGCCGTCATGATTGCCCTGCCCCGTGCCACTTCAGGATCTCTGCTGCGCCCCGCATCCACCACGGCATCCACCACGTCAGCTGTTGCACCAAGGGCCTCTCTGCCTTCAGTGACCCGCCACTTAGCAACTGTTCAGTGATTGGGCTCCTGATGTTGTGCCACTGTGCAAGTGAGCCCAGGCCCCCTCATCCCGGTTTTCTGAGACTGGCGTGTTCATTCTTCTGGAAGTTCATGGTACAGTCTGGTCAGTACTCCTCGCCCCAACCACTGGGGCAAAGGCATCTGCCCTTCGTGGTCCTCCTTCCCACCGTCCGCGTTCACAGGTCCTTGAGGCATCGGAGAGACCGTGACCTTGGGCCAGAGGCAGCCAGGACATCCACGTGGCAACCCTGATTTTTAAAACCCCCAGGCTGTCTTTTGCATCAGGTTCACCCCAGTGCAATATTTGATTTCTTGACTGCTGCTTCCATGGGACATTGGGGCTTGGTCCAAGTAGAATGAAATCATAAGCAAACTCAGGTTCTTCAAACACACATACAGTTGGAACTCAATAAATGCACACAAAAGACAGAGTGGATATATCGTGAAAGGTGCACAGAACCACTGATTGCACAACCTTCTTGTCAAAATGTGGTCCGGGATGGAGAGCGAGTGTTTTGAGAATGATGAGGGTAACGAATGTACAAATGTGCTTTATACAATTGATGTATGTATGGATTGTGATAAGAGTTGAATGATTCCCCCAATAAAATGATTTTTAAAAAAAGAAAAAGAAGTAGTCCAGGAGAGGGGAGAGAAAAATGGAGTAAAAATCACTCCATGAAAAAGGGACAGGACAGAGCCTCCAGGTCCCTGACCCCCGGCTCTCAGTGTTGGCTTCAGAAAGGAGGCAGAGTAAGACTGAAGTGGACTCGGGTCTCCATCGGTGTCTTCAGTGACAGACAAGTGTACTTGGAACATACGGGGAAAGTGTGGTCCGCGGACCAGCTGCTGCTACATGACTTGAAGCTGAACCTGCAGAATCTCAGGCTCAGCCTACGACGTCGGAATGTACACTTACCAGGTCTTCAGGCCAGGCACACAGCAGGGACAGTTCCTGAGAAACGGCCCAGGAACGGATGTTTGAACCATGGCATTCAGAAGCACGTAGAACAAAGCAATACCGTGTTCAAGGGCACACATACAGGGTAAACCAGAAAGCAGCAGTGTGAAACGATGATCCAACATTCACACACGTGGCTGCCCTGAGTGGGTTCCGCACCCGGAGGAGGAGAGCTCTGAGGGAGCCCCGTAAGTTGTGCAGCTGACTCAGTAGGTTTATCGTGCCAACCTGGCCAAGAGGAACACATAGGATTAATCAGGTCGTACTTTGATTGGAGGGCAAAGAGATAAATGGCTCTGCAAGGCCCGCCCCTCTCTTGCTCTCTGGTGATCAGAGCGTGCTGGAGCCTGCTGGAGTGCGCCTGCTGCTGCGTAGCTAGTTCTCGCCTCAGCCTGTGAGCTACGGTACCTGTGGGCACACTACACTGGAGCTTGAGGCTCCTTCGAGACCTGCTTCACCAAGCTGCTGGTGCGGACACCACTTGAGCGTGAGGCTGGTGGATTGTCACCTTGCCTTACCCGCATTCGATATCCCATCCTGCCTGCTTTACTAAGTGCCCAAGTTACTGACTGGTGGTGACCCACCCTGCTGCTTGCTGCCTGTGGGCAGACTCTGCCTGCCTTGCCCCAGGGCAGACTCTGCTGT